GAGCCCCTGATGGGGAGGACTGGGCTGGCTCTGCGGGCTTCTGGGGGTGGAAGCTCTCCTGCAGCCCCCCAATTGCCCCCTCTCCCCAGATGGCAGCCTGCGGCAAGTGCAGCCCGGCTGATGGCCGAGTGCTGTGATGTGCCCAGTGTTGGTACTCCGGGCACTCCAAGCCAGGACTGCTTTGCAAGCGGGGCACCCCTGAGAACTGTCTGTCCGGGGTGGGGGTTGGGACCCTTTAAGCACAGCCCTCGGCTAGCCTGAGACAGCATCTCCATGCTCTAAGTCCTCCTCTGATGCCCTGCCGGCACTGCTTCCGGCCATCCTTAAGCCCGGTTCAGGGTCCACTTAATGTGGACATGCTAGTTCGAATTAGCAAAACGCTAATTCGAACTAGTTTTTTAGTCTGGATCCGTTAGTTCAAATTAGCTTAGTTCGAATTAACTAATTCGAACTAAGTTAGTTTGAATTAACGTTGTAGTGTAGACATACCCTATGTGTGGCCAAAATGATCTATGAGATCTATAATGAGGATTTTTACTTGTGGTATGCATAAAAATACAGATTTCACTCAACATCTTGTTACAGCTTTCTGGACCATCCCCCTATCTCCTTCCCTCTGCACCATCCACCCCCACACAACATATGCCTACTAAATTGCTTAAGGCTGTCTGCCAGAAAAGCCATACTACTCACTGAGAAACCACAAGAGGCCCCTTCACATATACAATAGCTCAACTCTGATTGATCGAAAGAATTATGAAGCTATGAAATTGGACTTACAAACATAAACTGAAGTTCTCTAAATATCAGGACTACTGTTATTACAAGAATGTCTGAGGCACCCATAACCACCGTATCTAGTTGCAAATCTAAATACTTCTGCTGAATAGATGTGGTAAGGAGAGTGGGCCAGAGACGCCTCACATTCTGCACCTCCAGAATGCCACAGAGCAGGCATTAGGATTTGGCCCCAAATAAGCCAAGCTTGATACTAACAGTAAATACTATTGAAAACACACACACTCTGTGGAGCACACACATATCCTACAGAGCGTAGTGGGGTCTGGAGCAAGGATCTTACTGCATTAGAGTGCAGGCTTTTGGGTTTTTTTTAAATGAGAGTGTATGAACAAATTCATTGACCACAGTAACAATCACAGAAATAACTGTGCAAATGTAGCTAACAGAACAAGAAATGTGCTAAATTCAGTGAGTTTTAATTATTTACATGTCTTGAGCTAAGCCTTGCTGAACGAGCGCCACGATGCACTCTGGCCTAGTCCAAATGGGTCAGGCCCATTATTTCAACATTTCTCAGTCACTCACTGTGCTCGAAATATCTCTTACCAACAAAAGACAAACCCAGTTCAACAAGAATCAACTTTTTCTTCATCAATCCTCCATGTCCCTGATCTAGGAACTGAGGGGTGCTGGAGAATGGGAAAGAAACAGAA